GGAATAAAAATCGATCAATCGAGATAATGCCTGCTTCTTTGCTTGAAGACTGTGCCGTGTTTAGCTCAGATATCTGGGTCAAATATGCAGACTCATAACGAAACAGTTAGGACCTATTACTTTCTCTTTGATTGCTGCTTTAATAACAATCTACCGATTGTTTTATTTTGTTTATTAAGTAGCTGATAATAACAGGGTTAGCCGTCTGGGCATGCCATTACGCTTTGAACACGTCCTTATCAAAATCTTGAGTGTCCTTGCTCAATAAAATACAGCCCACACAAACACACATTAGCTCTCCCGAGTAGTTGCTTCAGATATGCAGATTAATACAAAGCGAAAAGACTGACTTTTAGTTTTCGTTTTAACAAAACAGCAAACGGACAGCCAGCGCTGGTAACCTGCTTATGGAACTGCGTTAACTCTTTGAAACCAAAGCTCGTATAAATAATATTAATAATTCAGCCCGTACCGCGAAGAAAACACAACTCTTTACCATTACAGAGATCAACTGGTTAACGCTGTTTAAGAAATAATCTCTCCTTGTTCTGAGAATCATAGGAAACACGTAAATACAAAACGAAGAGTTACTGGTTATTGAAGCAGGTGGTACATATAGTTACCACTGGGGTTGAAGGGGTTAATCTCGCCTGGTTTGAGGATTTTAACCAAGGATTTTCGTAACGCAAATCAGATACGCTTTCATTTTGCGCCTGGTGGCTAAGTTAGTTTGTAATTACCCTGAAATATCCTTTAATAAGTCTAAAAGAGGTTAAGAAACATCACATGTGGGAGGACGGGGTCTTTCAAGGCCTTTAGAGCCACTAATAATCGTAATAACATTTCTAATTCCTTGATAAACCGAGCATTATGCCACAGAATAATCAGTACCCGAAGCATATACTTTCTCAGAAGCAATTTCCTTCCTTATCCCTGTCATTAGCATGACATGACGTGTGTTGTCTAGGCTGCAACTTAAGACGTGTCTTTCGCAAATTGTCGTGCACTGAGGTAAAAATACACATGATGCCGAGGAAGACATTCCGAATTAAGGCTCATGAAGAAACAGGAAGTGGAAGAAATCCGCGCATTGAAGAGCTCCGTAAACAGTATTCTTCACCAAATATTATTTATTACGATGATCAAACGAAGGGGGATAGATAGATGGGCAAGGCATATAGCGCGCATGGGAGAGATGACACATGCACGCAAGATTTTATTCGGGAAATCTGAAGGGATGTCACCACAGCCAAAGAGGATAATATTAAAATGAATCATACGATTCATCTGGCTCCTGTGGATGTGGGAATGAATTTCAGGGTTCCACAAAGGACAATTTTATGGCAACAAGCGACTGGTAGCTTATCAACAAGGGCTCTCCTCCAGGGAGTCGGTGTCATTCAATTGAAGAATCATGACGGGCTCCCTTTTCAGTCATCTGCAATCGAGTGCCTGTAGAGGCCCCAGCGCGAAGCGCGGGTTCACCGCCCCCGCACCAACTACGCCTATCTCTGCTTTGCTGTACCCCAGCAAGACTGCGATTAAGAACCTGTTTTAACACCCAACGCGTGTCACCTGCTAGGTTATCAGGTTAGGTGCATTGCGCCGACACTTTTTTCTCGAATTTTAACATGCGGATTAAAACCTTGCAAAAGAAAATGAAGAAAAACAAACTCCGTTAAAAGTACATATACAGGATGTTCGATTTAAAACGCAACCCTAACTATAACACACGAAGTCCAGGTACATAACGCCGAAATCCAGAGAAGGAACGCGCGTGATATTACCGACAGAGAGGATTAATCAGCTCCACTACCCGGCCGACTGTTCCCTTCGAGATAGGGCCCCAGAATTTTGGTCGAAAGACCTGAAAGTAAGAGGCAACTTCGAAGAACTAGGTGTAGATGGAGCAATATTACAATTTACCTTCCAGAAATACCGTGTAGAATGGATTCATCTGGTTTAGGACAACGACCGGTGGCGAATTCTTGCAAACACGAAGGGACGACGTTTCTATGGTACTATATCTACCCACAAGTCCACACGGCGTCGCAGTCCAGATAACCGACATCGCGTATTCACTACCGTGAGAACCTCAAATCCCATCTGAATAATTAACCGTGTAATACGAAGCCAATTACATGTTAGTTGCGCAATTTAATACAGTGTGTTTAAAATAATCAGCGCAGTCGTTAAGCGAACTTACGCGTTACGGGCCGGCCGGACTCCACGGGAGAAGCGACCGTCTCTTCCGCTTGGGTGCGCGCGCACTAGAAATAAACTCCCTGCACAATGAAACGAAAGGTTTTGATGCGACCTATTTTCAGCTACGCTCCCCATATTTAGGGTCTACACATACACAGTGACGCATTACACCACTAACCGAACCGGGAAACTGCAGCAGACTGTTTGACCACCATTCGATTTTAATGCATTCGGTCCAACTTCTCCTTGTTAATAATTGTGATCTGATTATAATCGGGGTACTACCGGAGTGTAATTACACTCCGGTAGTATCCCGTTTCTCGTTCCACTGTGCGCGTTGTACCGACTTGACGTCCCACCCCACCCCCGCGTAATTACAGTAATCACCCTCTGACGTTCGTACCTTAACCCTGGTTCCTTCCTATGAATTTTACATGGCACTTGTTCCGTGCAAAATAGCTTCATAAAATCAATGCGTCTTTCACCTGTCAAATAACCAGAACATTTAACGGTGGTTTCCAGTCAGGTCATGAATGATCACGAAGTAAACACACATCACTGTTTGTCCTTTAACGTTCAGTGGTAACTATGTACCCCCACCTCCTTAACAGACAATAAATCTTCATTTCGTACGATTCTCAGAATAAACAGCGATTATTTCCTTAAACAGCGTTAACCAGTCGATCTTTGTAATGGTGAAGTGTGGTGTTTTCTTCGCGGTACGGGCTGAATTCTTCAATATTAATCTAGACGAACTATGTGATTCTCAGAATAAACAGCGATTATTTCCTTAAACAGCGTTTACAAGTTGATCTTTGTAATGGTGAAGAGTTGTGTTTTCTTCGCGGTACGGACTGAATACTTAAATAATATTTAGATTAGCTTCGGCTTCAATGGATGGACTGAAGGTAATGCCGCAACATCTACGAACAGTGTCCACTCCGGTCACGACGGAACCAAAAGCGCTTGACGAAAATTCATTGCAGAGAATGAACACCTGTTTCGTTCCGTACAAAGTTTTGGTCGGACAGCCTGAAGGGAAGTGATCG